CCCTAACAGGAGAGGTTCAAGACAAGGTGTGCCATGATCCAGCATCATTCAGTGCAGACTGGGAATGGCTGCTGGGAGCCAGAGGCAGGCCAGGAAAGGCTGCTGTGAGCCAGGAGCACTCAGAGGATGAGAGGGCTGTAAACAGGGATGTGCCTCAAGTTTTCCTTGTTCGTAGCTTTTTAGGAGCAGTTGTACTAAGGTACTCTGCACCATTTCCAAGATTTAAGTGAAACAAGACTCTGGAAAAGGGAGGCAGCTTCCAGAACAGCCTTGTCTAGCACAGACCCTCTGGGATTCCTGGTGTTTTCCCTTTACCTGTGGCTTGGAGCTGTGAGGAGCAGCTGAGCGACCGAGCAACTGGAAAACAAGGAAGGAGAAAACGGCAAAAAAAAAAAAAGTGTCAGAAACGTTTCTGGTTTCCACAGGAAGGGTTAAAAAACCAAATCAACCAAATCCTGTCACTGTAAGACAGTGGGGCGTCCCACACTGTAACCAATTACAACCAATACCTGTGGGGTACTGGCTGGTTTACACTGGTCAGAAACTGGACACGGTTCATTGGATCTGTTAACAGGAGATTCCTCCCCCAGCTGGTGTGGGAAGGGACAGACACAGCAAAGGGGGGACAGACACAGCAACAATGTAATCGGGTATTTAGGAAAAAAAAACCCCACTGTCGGCTTTTTTAAGGTGAGAACAGAACGGAGGTTCAGGTCCAAGCCTCTGTTCCAAAGCCAACACTAAACCTGGAGCTTTGGGACCCCCCAGTCCCAGGATACTCACAGGCCCCGGCAGCCCAGGCTGAGGACACGGGCAGGCTCCGGATGGCCGAGGTCAGCATGGAACTCATCCTGGGCTCTGCAGAAAGGCTGCTCTCACTCCAACCTGGCCTGCCTGGAGCAATTCCAAGGGAAGCGACCTGCCTGCCTCACACAGAGCCAGAAAAGTGGGGAGAAGACACTCCAAGGGCAGCAACAGCAGCAGCAGAGGAATCGCTTCCCACCGCGCTCCGCGAGAGGAATCCGAGCAGGAGGAGCCTGGCTTGTGACTGGGGCTGCAAATGTGCCTGTGAATAAATACTGCCCAGTGAATAAATACTGCCCAGTGAATAAATACTGCCCAGTGAGCTTCTCAGTTCCCCTCCCAGCGACTGCTTCACCACCTCCCCCCTGGAAAATTGTCTCGGTGCCCAGCCGGCCCCGCCGCCAGCACGGCCCTCCTGACGCACTGCCCTTGGCACCACGTTACACCCCTGCCCCTCGTGGCACTGCCCTTGGCACCACGTCACACCCCTGCCCCTCGTGGCAGCCCCTGATGCCAACCTCAGAGTATCTGCTGTGTGTCACTGCCCTTGGCACCACGTCACACCCCTGCCCCTCGTGGCAGCCCCTGATGCCAACCTCAGAGTATCTGCTGCGTATCCCTGCCCTTGGCACCACGTCACACCCCTGCCCCTCGTGGCAGCCCCTGATGCCAACCTCAGAGTATCTGCTGCGTATCCCCATGGAGAACAGAACAAGCCA